ATAAGGCAGCTTATGAGGTTGGAAGCAAACCATTTTGCTTGAAAAACCAGCATGTAAAATTTTGATTTTTGACCGAAAACTTTATAAGGGGCAGATGTCGATTTTTTCAAAATGTTTTCAAATTTCTCAAAAACCTTGACATTTTACATCATTTTCTTTTTAAACAAGCGACGAATGTAATTTTCTTTTGCTTTGCTTTCGTTCAAGCAAACCACTTCTGAAGATGCAAGCCACTCGTGCTTGCGAAACGTCAGGAAGAAATTCCTGAAAAAAATCCAACGGAACAGCATGTATTAATAGCCCTAAAGCAATGGCATTCGTATCAGCCACCACACAGCATACAAATGCGGATGGTCAAGGTGCTAATTTCTCTAATTTCAACAATTCACGGCCTTCTGTTAAGGCGCATTTTTTGCACATGTTCCACAACATTTTCGGCACTCCGTCTTTATCATTCTATTAATACGAAAGTAATGACAGTAATGAGCGTACACGAGCCCTTCTCAAACACACGTAAGCCTTAATGATTTCGTTCCGAATTTTTTAATGGATCCTTCAATGTCTTGCGCTAATTTAAAAGTGGCTCCTGATGGATTTAGCAATCAAGGTAATGAGCTGAGAATGCCGGAAAGATCTGCGGTGCTGCGGATTTTTTGCGCAAAAATTGCTGAAAAATCTGATCGCTTGATGGTGACAATTTTCAACACTATAATCTGCAAGGCTGTTTTGCCAAACCGTTAATTTCGAACTCAGACAGTTATTAAGCTACTGCCTGGAAAACTTTGAAACTTTCGAACATCTCCAACTCATAACTCAAAAAAGCAACAAAAAAACCGCTCCGGAGAATAAGAAATCCGCGGAAAATAACGACATTATTCTTATCTCCTTAGAGACAAATGTCACCCTCATTCGCGGCATTTGAATTTCAATGAATTTTTAATATAAGGGGTGGTGCTTCAGCCCACCAGTCGATGAAATATCTATTTTTATTTCTTGATTTTCGTCGACGTGGGAAGCCATTTTAATAACAGTATTAAAACTGAGATTGCATTTGAAATGGCACAATAAAATTTTATCCAGTAGAAAAATCTGGTAAACAGTGCTATCGTAAAATGTTAAGTGCCTTTATTATGGAATTGTCGATTTACATGTTCGTTTTGCTGGCACTTTCAATGACGGGGTAAACGGTCTAGGTAGATATAAAGATATGAACATTTTTATACTCCCACCTTAATAAATCGGCCGTTATGTGAATTTCATGCATAAGTCCACCGACATTTGTCTGCAAAAGAGTCCAGAAATGCCGCAGTTCGATGTTTAAAGGTTCAGCGAAAAATCTTGATTTGTCAGAATACGTATATGTTTTTACTCGTTCTGATTTTCCATCATAAACATTACACACAGCACAATCCGGTGCGGTTTTGCGATCGCATTCAGTTACTCATTAGCACCTCAATTTGCAAAACGTCTTCAAAAAGCGATCGCAATAAATAAATCCGCTGATTATTTACATTGGCGATTAAAAGTGATTCACTTAGAGGGTTACAAATACAATTTCATAAACTCGAGCTGTGTGATGAATCACCTACACCGACTGGAACAGCCTATCGGTGGTGGCGATTTTAAATAGTTAGCACCCGGTGACTCATCGCTTTCCATAATATTGTAAAGTGTGTATATGCGTATTATTTATGAGCTTAATTAAGGCTGAACACGATCAGAGTTTGCATAAATTTTAAAAAACCAAACACCGTTTTCGTTCAACACTGGTGCATACACATACAAACTAGTGTGAGAAAAAAGGCCGATTAGCAAATGAGTGGGTGGGAAAGGGATGCAACACCCAGCCGTTTCTTTCTCATAGTCGCATTAGTCGTGGGTCCTTATTCCACTCACTAACAAATCGACATTTAATTAAAAAGTTCGCTCAAAACTCAAAAGGTTTCTAAATGTCGCACATCTTTGAACACACACACAGTGATTCATCTGGTTCTGTCCTCGCTTTTGAATGTGTATTAGATAATAAATTTCGATTAACTGACCTGAAACGACATGATTCATCCGACCAACGGCTTTTCCTCTCTCGGCCTTTTCGAACAATCGGTAATTAATTAAGTTTCGGCGTGTTGTGAATGCCAAAGATTTGCGGTCTAAGTTCTTCTCATGTAGAATAATTCTATTATTTCAGCAGTTTTCGAGGCTTTTTTATTTGAGTGTTGAACCGGTTGCGGTGAAATAGCAGAAAATTTGCGCCTACAAATTAAAACTGCGAAAATGACTCCAAAAAAATTGCATCGGTAGTCTGCACAGTGAACTTTGAACGTTGGGTTAACGATTGATTTCGATTTTTCTCTTGTTAAAAAACGACCTGAATGAGAACCGGAAAAAATGCCGCTGATGGTACAGTAAATACGCTGTCTGTCTTTCAAAAGATCTCATTAAATTTCCATATTCGAAAAGTTGAACGCTATTTTAACGTCAACGAAAAAGTTCCATAAAACGGCGTCCGATTCCGGAAACGATAATTAAGGCGAGCAGACATGCAATAGCGAGGCGATTGCGAGCGGCGATTATTCCAAATTTTATTGTACTTTAAGTACAATTTAACGAGACTATGTTGCATAAAATTGCAACCAAAAAATGCAGACGACAATGACCTATAACTAATGCGACCCCAGACCGTGAAATACACACCTTGAAAATCACGGGCCGGTGAAATTTCAGTACTCAAACTGAATTGTTCCCTCCGTTTCTTTTTATGGGACCGGGGATTATTCGTGAAGAGTGTTCTACTCTGATTGTTTGCTAAGGTCATGAGAATGATGAAGGTAACTGCATTTTCCATTCATTGATAATATAAATATAATTTCGTATTAATCTACTCAATCGCTCATTGATGGATGGGTATAGAACGAAGGAGAACCCATCAGGAGCTGCACATTTATTCAGTTCCCCATAGTGAGCAAGTTGGACGCTCCCAAAAATAAAGAGTTTTCCTGGTTTAGACAGTTGCAACCCAACTAACTATTTCTCCTTATTAAATCCTCAAAAAAATCTTCAAAACTGCAAAGCAAACGTTAAAATCTGCTCAGACGTTTACGGTAGCAAGATTATTCAACCTTGATGGTAGAGCAACGGTAAATTGCAGATTAAAATGAAAAACTGTGATTAGATCAGGAAAGCGCTTTTCATTGGTTTTCTATTGGTTCTAACAACAAACATTAAATATAAAATAAATAAGGTGAAAAAAACTGGTTTCAAGCTTAAAAACTAATACTAATTGTGTGAAATTAAGCTGACGAAACAACAAAACATTAGATACAGTTTAACCTGATAATTATGGGTTTATGGGTTTTTAATAGTTGCTTTTATTGATGACTTTTCCTCTCCACATTGGCCTGATTTTCAATTTTACAAGTATCACTTTCAGAACTTATTAATCAAACGGGCAGTTAACCGGGAAACATTAGAGCACGTTTGAAAGTAGTCATTAATTGTTGCAATGCGTTTAATCAGAAATTGTTCCGTTTATGCTACCAATTATTGGTACCAGTTAAATGTAGCTGAACTTTCGAGTTTTTTTGCGGAGGCAAAGTGCGTCCGATCGCACGGTCTGTTTTTTGCGTTCGCCAATCGGACATTCACCAGTTAATCCAGAAAACCAACTAGTTACATAATTCTCAACTGAATTGCGAGCATGAAGGCAAAAGCAGTTAAAAGTTATTAGTTATTTTGGGCAATCGTACTTTTTCTTTAGGGCCAGCCAGATGTACAAAATTGCTCGTGGCTTTTTGCAATTTTTCCAATACACAAGCAAAGTAATACCGATGAGGACTAATCTGTTATCTTATCTTGTTCGGGAAAAAGTATACGAAATAAAAATAAAGTTATTGTTGCCTTACGGAGGCATTTTAGTTAAACAAAACATGGTCCATTACCTCAAAACCGTTTCAATTAGAATCAAATAATTGAGGAAACGAGGTCGAAAGAGATGGAGGAAAATTTCAGGCTTTTAATATGCGCATTGTTTGAGACGCTCCGCTCCCCATAACACCCGAAATACAAGACGTCCATTTTAACGATCAAAGAAACAAGCATAAAAAGCGACCTTTATTAAATTGTTCTCTCGAGAAAAGTGACTGATCGGGACGAGAGGCTAAATTGAAAAGCTGGCAGGAGGGAAATAAAACTGTTATATACGGCCGGAGGAAATACCGTCGGTTTTGTTCTGTGCATGAACATAATAAAATTTCTCTGAATAAACAAGCACTGCAATGTGCCGGGAAATTGCGTGGCTCAACAACGGTGGTTTTCATAAAAGGCCCATAACGTCTTGTAATTTGATTCGTCTTCAATATCGCGGTACCTCGAAGCACAACGGCTTCGACTTTCTATTTTACATTTTCCAGTAAGAAGCTTTACTGCCCCATCTTGCAACAATCGATTTTCCGCTTGTTATTAAACAACGAAACAACTAGAAAATGCATAAAATCCAGTTGCTCTTCAATAACTTAAAAAAAAAGTCTTCGGCCCTTCTCAGTTAAAACGTGCAACAACCTTAGTCATTCTGATGCACGTGTGAAAGCGCTCAACCGATTAGTATGAGGGTGAGTCACGTCTTGGCGACTACTCATTCGCATTCTTCTGTATCTTTTGATCTTTTTCTATTGGTGAGAAATTATAGGACGCTTTGAAACGTCTCTTTAAACCACCAACCAAGCGATACCGATGAGTCACTTTGGGCACCTGAACCCGAAAGAAGTTTTATGCGTTGCATTAACGCCGTAATTGCTGAGTAAACATTCAAAGGTTTTTTCTGGTGGACGTGAATCATCTGCGTTCAACAGTAATTGTGTTCAGTCCAGTGAAGAAAGATTAACTCTTGTTGCGCAAATATTTCAATAAAATAATTTTTTGCTATAAAATTAAGAATTACATCGGATTACAGAGTGAGAAAGGCTCATTTTTGGATGCCAATTTAGTTGCTTTTTTGAATCTACATATTTCAATAACTTTTTTTTATTGATTCTGACCTGAAACGGCTATTTGCAGTTTTTATATACGTTAAGTCGCTGCGACCATATTAGTTAATGAAATAATGCGAATTTGGCCTCGACGGCTTTATTCCATTCTCAAAACGAAAATCTTTGTGATAATTGACCAAAAACGCAGAAATGTTGAGCGGTTTTAAACCGATAAACCGCAGAAAAACGCTTTTTCTAACAATTAAAAGCTTAAAAAATTCAAGTTTTGCATGTGGCGGCAACACCAAAGGCACACGTGTAAAACTTGTGCTTCAAATAAAAAACTTACGGTTTTTCAGCCTCTTGTCCCTGATTGCATTTTGTCTGTCTAAAGCTTTCGTTATCCATTACTTATAGGGGGAAAACGTTCGACTCGATACTCCTTTGGTGAATTTTCTCGGGTCATGAAAACGACTGAAATTAGTAGAAAAATCAGATTTTATTGCTATAAAAATATTCAATATTTCGCCATTATAACAACAATTTCAAAGTTAAACAAAGATGGCAAAAAGCACTAAGCAAATTGTAGGATTTCCTATTGATATTACATAGTACAGAAGGATTGTATTTCAAAAATAATTTAATGGAATCTATTACGACTGTTACTAAAACTCAAAATGTATGCATTCGACGGACAATCCTCTACACGTTAGGGCGGATGCGCTGCTTCAAAAAGCGCTCTCCTGCCGAATGCCCAAGAAAATTAACAAAAAACTGTATCCCTATAAAAATGTCTCCTACTTCTATCAACATAAATAATCATCATAAACCAGACAAGAATAACATTTCCTCATTCCCGCTGATAAGCTGCAAGCTGGCGCTCCAATTCCTTGTTCCTCATAGTTAGATTGTAAATTTGCTCCGCCATCATGTTGCTCTCGTCGCTCATCGCTTTGCTGTTAATTTCCTCGATAACCACATCGAAATTCTCCTTTACTTTGATGAATTGCTTCAGATTCTCCAGCTGAAAATCAAACATCAACTGCCTGATGGAACAGGTGTGGTTGTAAAGCTTGTAGATCATCTTTCTTTCCACTTCCTCAAACATGTTCTTCATTTCGGCCTGCATTGTCTGTCTTGCGGAATCGATCATTTCGGAAACACTTGCCGCTGAAAGGTTGCCAGTGGTTGGGTTTTGATTGCCGTTTATTATAGGTGAAATCTGGCTGTGGCAGTCGTTCGTAGACACTTTAAGCAAGTTTGGCGTTGAAGATGTTGGAAGGACATCTAGATTTTGCTTTGATATTGCTGATATTCTCGGTGGGAGTCTTGATGGTTTTGGAGTAAAATTGTTAATCGAGCGGCGAGGCTCGTGTTGCAGCTCTTTGTTACCATCCACTTGTTCCAGGCATTTGCTTTCCTCTTTAGCAGACTCGATGGTGTCGCTTTCGACCCAGCCTAAAGCTTTCAGGAAAGAGTCTCCTCCACTTTTCACACCGGCATTCGTTTGCTTGGAGGCATCTAGAATTTCACTTTGAAGTAATGATTGTTCATCGACCAATCCGAGGAAATCACTAGTTGTGGCTTTGACTTCAATTTCCTCATTAGAGGCGCTGTTGCTCGGTGAACGGTTTTCTTCAGCTACATCAGCGCTGCATAGAAAGGTGGAACTCGTCGAGCTACTCGCTGATTTTTGATAAGTCAAGTGTTTAATCGAGCTGGAATGGGCCTCGTATGTGTGTACAGGCGCTTGCAATTGGCGTGTGTCGTAAATAAGAATTTTCCCGTTTTGGCATCCCATTGCGATGTATAGAGAATTTTCCAGGAAATCCAGCGACAGCACATTGTTGTCCACGGGAATAGTGGAGATTTTGCACCTTGCTTCTATATCAAAAACTTGCACGGTTCTGTCTAGACCGGCTGATACGATAAGAACAGCGTTTACTGGCGAAAATAGAACAGCGGACACGGGAGCATAGTGTGCGTCTATATGGAATTTGGTTTTGTTAAAGTTAACATCCCAAACGCCTACGATGCCTTCATTACTACCTCCAATCAGAAAGTTTTGCCTTTCAACGTGCGCTTTCAAGGCAGTTAAGGATGACGATTTCGGAACTTTCCAAGTGCCAGACAAGTTTTTAGCTACACTGTTGTAGAGCATCACTTTACCATCTTCACAGCCGGCATAACAGTGGGTGTCTTTAGCTGTAAAGCCCACATGCGTTATAGCGCTACCCGCTCTAGGAAACCTGCCCTTAATGCTCTTCGCCTTAATGTCATAAATCAGCACCTGGCCAATCTTGCTGCCCACTGCAATCGTTTTTTTGGACAAATTTGGGAAACTAGCACAAGACGGTTCGCAAATCTTGTTCACAGTGTGTAGCAGCTTGCACTGGCCTCTAACAGAGACAATTTCGGTACAGCCGGAGTATGGAACCACAGCTAACCAGTTGCCGTCTTTCGCCCAAGACAGACTTCTACAGGCATGATCGAATTGATTCGTTGGCACATGAGTGTGTAAAAGCTGGTTGTTTGGGAAGTCGTGGATTTTCACAGTCGATGAAGCAGAAGCGATGTACATCTTGCCTGAAATCAAAAGCCAAAGATTACAGCGAGTCTTGAAAACCGCACTTAGTCCGGCTAATAGTTTTGAGAACAGGTTGAGATCAAAAGCGCTCTTTTAAGACCAAAGATCATTTTAGAAAATTTTCTAGTTTTCACGCAAAATGCGAATATGCCAAATAAATGAAGGTCTAGAAACCGCTCTTAGTCTCACATTTGAGAACCGGTAGAGCTGCAAAGCTCAATTTATTTACCATTGAGCCTCATTGAAAGCAGGAAAGCTTCTTCCGATTTTCCGAAAAGTGTATTTTGAAAAACTGATAATTGATAATGACATATTCTTCAAGTTGAGGCTTACGTAGGGGCAAAACTATCGCCACGCCATACGGTTCCAGAGTCGCCAATGGACTCCCATAATGGGGCTATCAGCCAAAATCTGTAAATCCATTGAAACCACCTAAGTTCGGGGGCACAAAAACACCTGATATTTAATGCACGCAAACAATTAATCCTTGAACAAAGCTGGTATTGTTTTAGATCATTTTCCAATTGCAGTGTCAGTAGTTTTTTATTCCTCTATTGGCGACACTGATAAAGGTCAACGACGTTTAGCACCGGCAGTCGATGTGCAGGAAAAACCAATTCATTTTGTTAGGCAGATACATTTTGTTGTCGACTGCTTTTTGCCACGTAAAACAAGAGTAGCTAAGAGTTCCGAAAGGACTTCATTAAACAACACTCCAGAGTAAGTCATTTACTGTCTATGAATATTATTAAAGCCAAAACAAGTAAACAAGAAAACTCATTCATTCTTACCGGTTTGAAGGGGTTTCAGTATTAGCTGTATCAGTTGAGGCGACAAATCTAAGGCACTTTCAATGTTCTAAACTGCACACACCATTTAAATAGCAGAAAACTTAGGAAAAAAACAGTTAAAAAATCAAGAATCAAAATAACAAAACATTTCAACTAAGCATCAAGCTCTGTTGTCATATTTCCTAAAGTTTTTACCTGTCCTGATGACTGCCGTTAATTATCTATGAAAATCGAGGGGCAGACGCTCTTTGGTGTTGTAGGTTAATTGATGTGAACATCTGAGGCTCTTTTTGAGTGCCAAAGTAGACGAAATGCATTGAAAATGTTTTAAATTGTATCAATTTCAATGTCGATTAATTCATATGGTTATGAAACATTCAGTCAATTGGCAATGTTGCATAAGTTGACAGAAGACGCTTGCTTGCTTTACCAGGGGCTCTCTAAAATTAGCTGCTTACACAGAACATACAGGGGAAGAACGAAAAGCAGATGTTTTGCCAATTGCAATAATGTTTTCTGTAGAAAATTCAGTATTTTTGTTTTTCTACTCGCTATTTTAATTTAATGGTATGTAAGGTGAAAAGTGGCGGGTTTAAGGGCCCGAAAAACTTTTTCGGTAGAACCTTCTTTTTATTACCTCTATTCTACAAATGGGAACAGAAGCTTTAAAAAAATGTTCATTTCACAAATAAACAGTTCCCGGTTTCTCCTTCTTTCACATGGCCAAAGAAATAAAATATTGTACCAAACTCAAGTGTATTAAATGTAATATATTTTTAGAATGTTTACGGACGTACATCTAGCCGTTCTCTCCAACGCCTTAGGAATTGTGCTCTTCCTACTGGTCGTTCTATTTCACTATGTGAATTCCAACCAAAGGCCTTCAGTATGAGAAGCTACTTTCTCAACCAACATTTACGGGATACGTTTTGTTACTCTATCACTATGTTTAATTGTTTATAATTAAGCTACTTTCTGATCCATTTATGGAAGTTGCCATGTATCCACGTTTTACAATAGATATTTTCCATCACTAGAATTTCGACATTTTTTTAACCTCTTTGCTTTTGCAGATTTCAATGCAAAATAAAATCGAAGCTAAAAAAAGGCCTATTAACAGCACAACGAAAGCGCCTAGAACGTGCAATAGTTTGAGATTTTCTGGGTATTGACCGTCGAGCGATTGGCGTAGTTTCCTTTGAGTAGCACTTTTGGTGCTTTCGCTCTAAAATTGTTAGAATTTTATACCTTGACAGTTTTAGCAGATAAATCGTTGCTTTTCCTTACTCGTAATACCCAATATGTTATGATTCCTGACTCCTTCATTCTGGACACCACTGTATTCGTTACGGTCAGTAAAACGGAGTTTTTCCGTAGAATTGCGATGATATACTGCGAGAACAGACACTCCTTCATCAGTCTGTAGTTTTCTAGCACATCGTTGCTTAGGTAAGTGGGAAAGTGCAGTAGGCCTGGAAAGGTATTTCCGCTAGGAAAACGTTAAAGAGGTTGAGTTTTGGTTACCGAATGTTTGGGCTACTTTAAAGGCCATGTCATAGCGCTTACTCAACAGGCGCAATCGTTCGGGAGTTAAGGATAAGTATCGTTCTCCCAGCTGTTTGTATGATCCCTAAAAACACTTAATTAAATAAATACAACTTTCAATAAACCAGTACAGGACTTACTTCCTCGCCATTCCTCCATTTCTGTATCAACTCCTCCGCTTGCTGGCCTCCCCATTTAAGGTCACTTCGCAAAAAATCTTCCACCGTATTTATGGTTCCTTCATATCTGGGTTTCGTCATAATGCTTGTATATCCGGCAGTATAAGCGATGCTCAATGCGATGCTAGCCAGCATGATGGGGAACATCAATTTCTTAAGAGTCGAATACTTCCTGTCAGTGCTCGTTTGAAAAACTGTTAATTGACTGACTATAACTAGGGTTTTATACGTGACAAACACCTTAGATGGTTTTTGCCTACGAAAATTTCTTAAGCTGCAGTTAGTGTGTAAAAGTTGAATTTTTAAGAGTTTACTTGAATTTGGCGCGTTCATACAATTGATAGTAGGTAATCACATATATGACGCCATCAAGAGTGGCATAAGTTGAGAGTAGTACCATCCAAGTATCTGAAGCGAAACTGTAGTATGGCGAAAGCCAAGGGGGCGCAACCCTAAAATTATTTTGAAATTCGGGATAAAATAAGTATTGCTGTCGGAAATCAATAATTCTGTTTCGAAAACCGTCTGAGTTTGGCCCGTTTTGCCAAAAATTGCGGTTTTGAAGAAGAAATTGGCAACTATTTTCACTAGATTTTAAAAAGTGGCTACAAAAATTTGCTCTACTAAAGCAGCCATGAGAAAATCTTGGAAATAATGCTGAACTTCCGCAATTAGGTTTTTAAAACCTAAACTTCTCCGCAAATTTTTAAATTAAA